GTCTTCAGTCTGGTTGTGAAGAAGTTGGCTTGAGGAATAGTTACTAACCTTTAACAGTGCATCAAGTTTCAAGAACACCTACTTTATTTAATTTTGATAAATGCATAAGACTGAAATGCTTTTAACTCAGAAATCCTCTTTGGTAAAAGACTGCAAGCAAGTTACAAGCACAGCTTAAGTAATGCTCATTTTTTCTGAGCTGTGCATGTTGTAACTGGAGTGAACCTCAGGTCTGTATGTTTTAGCACTGGCAGTAGCTGGCACTTACAGTCAGCGCTCATACCTTTCCATTGTTTGCTATACAAAATAAAGCTAACTAATGCAAACTCTGCCGTGTGAGGCAGAGGTTGCAGGAAGCAGTTGGTTACTGTGCTGTCTCAGGGTGTGCAGGGGAATCAGTCAGCGTTTGTCGTGTGGCTGTGCTTTGTGTGAGCTCCCTGGTGCATTCCTAAGACACCACTGAACTGGGGATGGGCTGAAAGGCACCTGGAGGAACCATGGCAGTTAGATCAGCTTTTCCTTTATTTGTTAGCTGAATATTGGGTCCATGTGCTAATGGTTAACTCAGTGAGGTTTCTGCTTTCTTCTGGGATCAGCAGGCAATAGTGTGCTGGGAGCGGTGCGTGCTGGGCTGTAGCTGTGAGCCATTTGCCTTTGATGACTGTGTTTTACATCTTCAACTCCTCAGCCATTCTAGGCAGTGCTGCAATGGGTTTTTATTGGGTAACACCAAACAGTGATTTGTCCTTTAGCCTGTTTGAGCAGGAGATGTAAGAAAATGGTGTTCAAGCTCAATAAATATCTCTCAGACAAGCTGCTTTTCAGGCAGTTCTTCATTTAAAAATAATCTTTTTGAACTTCAGAATCTGTACACCAAAAAAGATCCGGAAAATAACTGGTAAACATGCAAAGAATCTCTTTAGTTTTTCTTCTGTTCCCTTCTTGAAAAAAGAGACAACCTAAGCATAGTGCTATCAGCACCTATGTTCATATGCTGCACTTAATTCCCAGTACCATTGTAACTTTGTGAGCTGTACTCACGTAGCTATTTGAGTGTTTAGATCTGTAGTTCAAGTGAAGACTCTGTGTTCCAATTAAGTGGTTTATGTTCTGTCACTGGCAAATTAAAAAAAAAAAATGCATTTTATTGCTGTATTAGACAGCTGATATTTCACTTAGGATGCAGCAGGCAGCATTAAAGCAGGAAGCTCAAACCCAGCATTGTAGTGGACTACAGAGGCACTTAAAAAATGTCAGCGGTTTTGGTTTCTCCTTCCCAACCCTTCTATCAGGGAAGCTCTTACAATTTCCATTTGAAAATCAGCAAAACAACATTATACTTGCAGAGGGAGTTAATCTATGTCCAAAGCATTTTAGTCAAAATAGAAACTAAAATATCTATTGACTTGTGAGCTGTGCAGTGTGGGCAAGTCAGCAGCAGCTGCTGCATTTGTTGGCTCCCTTGTCTCTGATTCATGCAAACTTCAAGCCCAAGACCCCTAATGTCTCTGGCTTTGTTTCCCCACCTCTGAAATGTGTCCCTTCCCTGTGGCCACCCCCACACACTGCTGGCTCTGGGAGCTGCTGGTTGCAGGTCCAGCATCGTCCCCAGATGCAGTGCTCCCCAGCAGCCCCCAGCAGGCAGGAGTCTGTGCCAGGGATGGGGATGTGCCCATGGGACTGCAACACCGGAGCCACTGGCTGGCTCCAGAACCTCCTTCAGGTGTCCCTTTGTAGCTGCAGGACGGTATCAATGCCCAAGGAGGGATTCTGATGAACTTCGAGGACAAGTTTCTTTCTCCAGCATCCTTCTTTCTGAGGGCTGTGCAAACTCAGACAAGCCTGTAGTTGAAGACAGTGTCTTCACTAAACAGCTTTTCCTTTTCTGCCATTGATTGCCTTCATGTGTTCCACGAGGTGCTGGGCTTGCTGCTGTCTGTACGAGAGGAAGCTCTGTGAGCAGCAGTGAGCAGGAGGTGCTGCTGGCATATGGCACGTTTTGGTTTGTCCTTACATCAAGTGCTTCCCTTCAGTGCTCACTAATCTTGCTTACTAACACAAGGATTTTGGGAATGTGCGTTTCTCTAAAGCTGGATTTGTTTCACTGATTTCCTCCTCAAGGCTCCATTCATTACGCATCGGGGCATTGAACTTGTCTTCTGTTATGGATATACACAGCTTAAAACCTTTCCTTAGTAGGAAATACGTTAATAATCATCATTTATTTATTTTTCTTCAGATTCATTGTTTATTTTTTCTTGCATATCACAATTCTTTTCTGCCTGTTTGTTTAATGTTTTGTTTTGATTTGCTTTGGTGTTTTTGGCCTCACGCGAGTTTATCTGGTCTTCTACAGCTTCTATTAATAACTAATATTTATTTTACATACCGTCAGGGACAGCTTCCCATTAGGTCTGTTAGGAGGAGCAGGGATTGCAGAGCTGGAGCTCTAAAACAACCACGGAGGACAAGCAGCTCCTGCTGGTTCCTGGCACACTTTGGGATGGGCTTGGGCTGAGCCTGCCCAGGGCTTGCTTGCCTTTGGAGGATGCCTAACAAAAGTTTGGCACATTGTTAGGGAGAGGTGAATTCTTCCCCTATCCATCTCAAAAAGCCACAGTCATACTTGTGAGAGGGCAGCTATGGAAAATGAGGCACGCAGTTGTGAATTTCATCCATGCTGCATCACCAGTACCCTGCAGGCTGTTCCTGCTCCAGACTGCTATATGTACTTATGAAATCAGTGCACGGGTCTGGAGACGTAGAGAGGCAGTGTTGTTGGCTAAAGAGTGCCTAAATGGGAAATAAAATTAATACAATTTATGAGGAGGCTGTCACAGAAAATGGACAAATTTCTTCCAGTCTCCTATTTTTGCCTTACTGCAGGGGAGATCCAAGCATAAGGAGAAAGCAGAAAGCAGTAATATAAATTATCCTTTTTGGACCATGATAATATTAGAAAAAATATGTTTTTTATTTCTTTTTAAACCTGGTTTGAAGTAATGCATGGTAAAATTCTGGACAAGTGTAACTTGAGGTGTTGGTGGGTTTGATGCATATTTCATTTAAACTTGCAATTCTACTTTTTCAAGCCCTTTCTGCTGCAGTTAGTATGCTTTTTTGCCCCTAGATCTTGCTAATTTTTCCCCCCCTAGGCAATTTTGTCACATTTTTACCATTGGCTTGAGCCTGCTGCGCCTCGCTGTCACACCAAAATGATTCCCTGCCCTCAAATCTGTCTTCAGTGTAAGACTGCCTTTCTACAGGTCTGAAATGCACTTGCTTTCCACTCTTACGCTTGCAGGTTTCCTGATCGTTTCTCTGGGTAAAAGATCTGTCTTTAAAGAACTATTATTTTGTTGCTGGCAAAAGAAAGGGGAGGTGAAGGAAGGGTCACAGTGTGGATCAGTGTTAAACAAATTGTGAAGGTCACAAAGAATTTTAATCTGGTTTGAAAAAGAGACTTGTATCCAGCAGCACCTTTTTGTTTGTGATAGTCTGAATGAACAATTGTGGCTACTTTGAGAATTTGGTGTAGACTGCATGACTGGTATAAATTGAATTAGTCTCATGACAAGGACATAGTCCCCTTTTTCTCTCTCTGCCTGATGGAAAACAGAAGAAAGCCCTGCATGACACGTCTTGACCTGCAGTGTCAATGTGGGCTTTTGTGACAGGCAGTGATTTCTGGCCTTTCATTTGATAAAGGCAATTTGGTGGAGACTGGAAAGGAGGCTTGCTACAACACAAAACGTGCTCACAGAAAAGTATCTGGTGGATGGTACGGATGAGTGCCATTCTGTCCTAGCAGCCACCAGAAAGCCAGACTTTTCTTTCCGAAAATGGGGTAAAGCCTGTTAACAAAGTGGCACAATCTCACCAAACGACACACACCATAACGTCCTGTCCTGTGCTGTCACTGTTCTCAGTCCTTTCCTCCAGCCATCCTTGTGCCCACCATTTCTGCCTTTGCTTATTTCTTCCATTTTTCTCTCCTCATCTTCTGCCTTCCTTCTGTCTCCCTACACTTAACGCTTCCCCCGGTTTTGTCCCCTGAACTGAACCAAAATCTTCCCTCCTATCCCAGGCTGATGGTGCACCAGCAGAGTGCTCCTCTTCCTTAGTGTGACAGCATCCCAACTTTCCAATTTCATGTCTCTTTCCTTCCTATTCCCAGTGCCTGCTCTCCTCCCCCCATTATGAACGGGGGTTTGCACGATTGAAAAATTCTGCTTGAAATACTTACAGTGTGTCAAAGAGAAAAGCAACTGCCTGCAGCTTATGCAACAGCACTGGAACTGCAGTGCTCATTGCTCCACCTGTCCTCACAATGCAGATGTAATGATTTAACCTGGAGCATTTCATTGCATTTGAAGTGCTATGAAATCATTTTGAATTGCTAATTTTTAAATATTCAAGTAATTTTAAATAGTTTTTAAAACAATTTCTGTTATTCCCACTGATGCACAATACAGTGTTTTGTTTTGCTTTTTTGTTTTGTTTTGTTTTCTTTTTAATTGTGTTGTATCAATCTTTTTTTGGCCATAAACTTGCAAAACAATTGAAGGGAATAATTGTCACATTTTTCTTGAATATTAATTTAAAAGCAGAGGCTATAATCTGAGCACAGATAAGCCAATGCTGTTATAACTGTTAACAGAATCGCAGTGAGGAACATTTCTATTTATGCTATCAGGCTGCAGTATTGAGGTATGAGATTTAGCTGTAGAAACTCTGCCACTGAATCACGGAGTTGTGCACATCACACACATCTAAGTGATATTTTCTGAGCATTCTTATCTCAAACTCTGGTAGATCCGGTTGGAGTTATTTCAGCTCATGCCACAGACCTCTAAAAAGACAAAGGGAAATGGTATGGTGTAACAGACCCAGAAACAATCTCCTTTTCTTTGTTCTATTATGTCATGTAGATTTGAGAAGTACATTCCCTTTGTTAACAAAAATGCTTTTTCTTTTTTTTTTTCTTTTCCCTTATTCAGAGACCTCAGTGAAAACCAGATAAAAGGAATCCCTAGAAAGGCCTTTCGAGGAATCATTGATGTGAAGAACTTGTAAGTAACAACTTCATTAGTATTTGTGGTGCAGAAGTTCTCCCTCATTACCTCTGGCTGTTGCTGTTTGTTTGAGCACACCATGGTCACACAGAGGGCCCTGCTGTGTGCTCCTGCATGCTGCTTTGCCCCACACACAGTGTACAGAACAGCCAGGGAAGTTCCAAGCAAAGAAAGTAGAGTACTTAAAGGCTTTTCCTTCTCCCTGAAGCATTCTGCTGCAAAATTCGGCGAAATCATGATGCAAACCTTGAAGAAGATATGCATAGGAAATGGTGTGATAGAATTTGGGGATGAAATCAAATTATTTCACTTAGCTGAAATTTCTCAGTGCGCCACCACTCTGTTATTAGGAAGCAAATATGGCACACAGACACAGGAGCTGAGCACAGATTTCCAGAGATGAAAAGGCGTATGAGAAGTTAGCTGTTCATCCTTTGACAGTCAGTATTGAAAACAAAAATAATTTTTAAAAGCAATTAAAGGATGAACAGTGAGTTTTACTGTTGGTGCTTACAAATCTTGTTTGCCTTAACTTGGCATAGTTCTATAAATGTGTAAACAAAGACTTTCAGTTGTATGATTCCAGGTTACTTGTATGTTACATACCAGAAATGCATTTGGGTTCACACCTGCACACACACACAAGTGCATCATTAGAGTCAACACACGGTGAATTGAAAAAGGAAATAACAGGCAGCACGTTGGCAGAAACCCAGGCTTTCCTGAGAAAACAGAGCCACTGTCAGAGCCATTTCAGAGCCATCAGTATTAGGAGTGTTACCACACTCACAGTCCAGCTGAAGCCTGAGCCTCCACCATGTTAAATAGTGTGAGGTGTTTTTTTTTTTCTTTTTCTTTTTTTAGTTTACATAGAATAAAAATCTGCTGGAGATGTAAAAGGAAACACTTCTAATGAACATTCCTGTGACATACTTATGCTTTGTCCTCATTTCTTTGCCCAGTTAACCTCTTAAATGCCCAGATGATTTTTTTTTCTATGGGTGGCACAGAAACCATTAAGAGCTGTGGATGTGAATCAGAGCATCACATCTGCATCCAAGGGCAAAGTGCAGTTCTGGCACTTCATCTGGTAATGATTATATCACATCATGGGGATAGTGGAAAGGAGACCATATTACAAGACAAAAGCTACACCTTACCTCCCCCAGACTGGAAAAAATAGGCACAGGAGCAATGCTGTAAGACACTATCTCTCTCTGAGCCCTGTGCAAGGTTCCTACACATATGTTGGCACAAGGAGAGTGTGAGGATTTCTACGTCATGTAATTAACAGCTGTTTCTGCAGGTATTGGGCATGTCAGGCTTATGATTCTTCAGTGTTTGTTACTTGTCTCTGCAGAAGGGAGTTTAGCTCCCCAGGCACGGTGGCTTTCCTGAAAGTCACCAAGAGAAATCATATCATAAGAAGTAGGCTAAATTCATCTAAGCCTTGGCTTTAGTGTTCCTCCTCAGTGGGTGAGCATCAGAGGACCTATGTGAATGGATCTGGTTTTTAAGGCACAGTAAAAGAGGAGAGAAGACACTGGAAAATATTCTTTAGAGGGGGAAGAAGTGTGTGGACTTTAGACAGAAGCACGGCATTTTTGTCATGTTAGCATGAGCTTTACTTACTCTGTGTAATCTAGAGGAACAATAGATAGTGTTTTGTTTCAGAAAGTCTAGCTTTCCCAGCCGTAATTCACTGTTAGTTCTCTAACTTCATTTAAAATAGCAAAGTTCACATTCAGAGTTGATTTACTCCTCTCTGGTGAGATGTCAGAAAAATCACAGGTGTTCTTTGATTTACACACCCAGCCTCAGCACAGAAGGAATCAAGGTCTCACCTTTCCATGAGCTGATATCAAGGGATGGCTGGCTGCAGTACTTAGAGGCACTCTATAAATGTCAGCATCTAAAGCTTTAATAAAAATTGTGATTGTCAAGTTAGGCAGTATCTATTATTTTGCTGTAAAAGACACGGAATCAGACTTGCTTTCTTGTAGTCACACTTTCCATCTTTCAGGAATACAGATGGTTGGGAGCTGCCTCTGGAGGTCATTTTGTTCAACCTCCAGCTCAGCAGAGCCCAGTGCTCTAATGAATGGATCATCGGATCCCCAGTCCTGTTTGTTACAATGGGAAGCAGACTTCTCCACAGCTTCACTAAGATCTATACTCACTTTTCTTGACGATTAACATATGAATTTTGTGTCCAGGATGGTTCACTAGATGACTGTTGCTTCCAGCCATATACCAGTCGCCTATAAGTAGCTGAGAAAAACGTGACAAAATCTTGGGCCAACTCACTCCTGGAAACGCGTTAACGTTTCTGCAGCAGTAACTGTGAGGCTGTGATGCAAGCTGAACCAAGTTAATATTTAAAGCTCTAAGCAGAAAGCTTCAACGTGCCAATTCCCATTCTCCATCTCTGTTTGGCAGCCAAAATGCTCCCTTTGGAGCTGCAGAAATGACCATACCAATGAGTGTGACTGCTTGAGCACCTGGTGGGAGAGAGCAGGCCTCTGTCCCTCAGTGCCACTCAGCTGCTCCAGCACCTGCACCGGGAGCCTCTCTGACACAGATGCTCAGATGTGATAGCAGGCTGTTTCTATGGTTATCACTTCGCAGATTTACTGCTCTGTCGCAGAGTTCGTTCAGCCTTTGAGGCATGTTTCTGAGGGATCTTGGAGACTTAGACATGAGAAGCAGAGTCGCACGTTCTTTCGCACTGCCCTTTCCAATCAATCTTTAAAACTCATGTTGGAAAAGACTGGCTCTGAACCGTCTCTGTTTTCATGGTTTAATATTTAATTTGGCCTCAAGTTCTTCCAGATTCTTTGAAAATAAAAAAGTGCCAACATTATACAGAAACAATACCTCTGTAGCTACTGCAGTAAGAACACAGCAGTTGATGGACCGTTAAAGTAGCCCAATTAACACTGTTTTTAAGAGCAGTTTGGAAAGTTTCCACTCACAGACAGTTGCAGAGAAGTTGTTGTGGGAGTCCTGAGGCAGGGCATGAAGTCCCTTTGGACATAGGCTCTGAAATACACAGTGCAGGGGCTCACTGTAAATTAGGGTGAGTGCTGTTTGCAAGCCCAGCAAGAGCTGCCCTGTCTCAGCGTGGCCATTGCAACAGGCAGCACAAATGGCAGGTGTTTCCACCTGGAGCATACTGGTGTAAAGAAAACTGACTGAACAAATGCCAAATAAATGCTGCTGCATGTGCTGGAGAATGAAAGTGAGATGGTGAGGTCCCTCTAGCAGCAGCACTGCAGGACTGGTATGGTACCATACAGTTTGGCCATTAAAACATAAAACCTAAGGTGATAGGAAATATAAAATGAAGAACGGAGCAGGCAGTGTTTCAGGATATTTTTCACCGTGCATTTCATTTTAAATGGCAAAAGCTTTTCATCTCATTCTTATAGCAGTGCAGAGAGCCCAGAAATAGTCTCACTAAGGTCTATGCTAAAGAAGAGCTTTTTCGTGTCACAGAGGGCAATGTTTTGCACAAGACAAAGCAGCTCCTGGTAAAGTGATGCTAAAATTCCCAAGAGGGCCATGTTTAGTTTTGAGAATTATTTTCATATGAAGCGTTTTCTGCTGTTTAACTACGAAATGCCAAGGAAGAATCTGCACACAGCAAGCATAAGTTAGCAAGTCTTTTTCTAATTAAAATATAGAAGTAATTATGTGGCATTTAGCAAGTCTCAGGAAGACACAATGTCCATTACAAACCCATTTATATGGGAATTTGGAGTGAATTGACACTTTGAAAGTATTGTAGAATAGATGCATAAATTGTGCTCACTGCTCTGATAAAGAACTGAAGGAGTGAGGGCAGGAGAGGGCCTGGCTGCAGAGCACACCTGTGTTCAATTTCTGTTAGCTATTACCTGGAGAGCAGGAAATGTTTCTTGCAGGACTGTAGCCCTGAGTAAGCACACTTATTTCTAGAATTAAAGCATGTGGATCTGGGTCTTGTTGAGCTTTGGGCTAACACAGCACTATCAGCTGCAGCTTTCCTTCACAAAAATATATGAAGCTGCTGCCTGAGTTTCTGCTTGTATCACATCTTGGCATCCAGACGAGCATTCCTCCGCTGAGGCATTCTTGCATTCCCGCAATAGGAATAGGATGTGGCTCAGACAGGGGTTCCCAGCAGCAGTGCCCGTGTTGCCAGGTGTTGCCTGTACCTGCAGGCCGCCTGCTTCTCCCTGCTCTGTGCTCTTGATGGGCTGTGAGCTGTGTGCAGTCACAAAGCGCTGTAGGAACGTGGTTCCTGGAGAAATGGTGATACTGGGACTTGGTAGTGCCCGTAAGGAATGTGCAGGACAGATTTAGCAGATCCTAACAAGTCGCTGCCCTTTTGTTATCTCCTGACAGAAGTTTGTTCCTCTGTTTGCAGCATTGCGGTAGGGAAAATCAATAGATTTACCCGCAAGCAGAGAACTGTCTGAATCTGAAACAGCAGCAGACTGACTGCGTGTTTCCCAAAGCCTGTGCTCCTGTGCCACCCATTCCGATCCTGCACCTTTCAGGCTGAAGGAAAAGCTACTTCTGTAAACAGGGAGTGTGCAGAGGGGCATTCTGGACAGACAGAGCGTGTTTACTTGCAGTCAGTGGCTGTGTCTGTGCAGCCCCCATGCACCGCATCAGGGAGCTGCTGCAGGGCTGGGTAGGGCAGCTCAAACTCTGCTGTGTAAGGTGCCCTTCTGCATGTCAGCATCTCCCTGCAAGCAAGACTGTCTGCATTCCTGAAAGGAAAGCCAATGTACACGTACGCTGTAGGGGAGAATGCCTGCAGCTGAGTGCAGGGGAGCTGGGCCCACCCTCACCCACCAACTGGGTCATACACTTCTTTGAGGAGGAGCTGCTGTCATTTCTTGTTCTTGATTCAATAGAAAGTGATGCTGTGCATTCCCAACTTCTGTCTTTTTCCTTTTTTAGGCTTTTACTAAAAGGCAGAATTTTGTAGCAGTGGGATGCAGAAA